ATGCTCGTTCCTCCAAAATCTTTTGTAGGGAGCATTGCACCTCATGATCCTATATAAGGCCTGCTTTAGAGTGGATTATAGATTATGGGTTTTAGGTTCTGGTTTTTGCCACTTAAGTACCTTAAAATTTGTCCTTGTAATTTTTCCTACTCTATCATAAACACCATGAAGGCAAAGATGATGACTGTTTTATTCACCAATGTGTATATGGCACCTCTCATGATTCTCAGTATTTAATTGGTGCTAAATACATGAGTGAGTGAATGAATGGAAATGTGATCTGTGATCTCAATTTTGTAAGCCTGAGTTGTCCTCATCTGTAGAATGGTTCTTTGCACCAATATTTTAGAGTTATTTTAAAGCTTACATGTGAGAATCTGTAGCAAATATTTAGTACATTGTGAGATTGCACTAAATGTTAGGTGTTCTTGATCAGTCAGTGAACTGTATCATGTAGGATGGGGCCAGAGGAAGGGGACAAAGAGAGGGGCATCCAATAAATTCCTGTTCATTATGAATTTAAATGAGAGGAAAAGATAGTGGCACCAACAGGAGAGAAGCAGTTGGTGTACACCTGGCCTAGGTGCGATGTGGCTCTGGTGAAGCTGAACAACACTGACCTATTTTGTTAGAAATGGTTGGAAGTCCTTTGCATTTCTGCCAGTGCTCATATTTTCAAACTCCTTTTGCTAGGACCCTCATTAGCACCGCAGAGAATGAACGAAGCCTGGGGATGCAGCTCTTTGTTAATACTTAGAAGGTACATGCAGTCTTTCCCTCACCCCAAATGGCCCACATCTCATTGGGGAATCTCAGGGAGCTTAATAAACAGAAGTAATAGCTGGGAGCCACACGCTCGGGCCTGTAGGTCGTTAGTATTCAGAGTGTCCTGTGTTGTTCTGCCCGCTGATGCCTTAAGGAGTCATTAACATTTCATGGAAATCCAGGAAGCATTCCATTTAGAATCAGAGGAGAATTTTGACCTGGGAGTTTAAGCCAGTAATAAAATAATAAAATAAAGCAAAGTAAAATTAAATTAAATTAAATGTGTTTATGGTGAAAAAAAAAGAAAAAAGAAATTCCCAGAATCTTAACAAATACCCTCTTGTCAAAAGTATCTTCATTTGACCACCTGTGATCCAAAGGTGGGTTTGTATGTTTTCAGATTCCATTTTTATAGATCAAAGCTACATGTGTTAAGCTGGATTCTTCAGGGAGCAAACTACTCCTTAAAAGTTGAGCATTTTTTAAAGGATGTGAACTCTTCTGAATTTTGCGCCTCCGTGCAGTGGGTAGAAAACATATATTCCCTTTTAAAACTGGGTTGTGTGAAGGAAGTTGCTGCAGGTGGGCCACAGCAAGACTTTAGGGCATATTGACCACATCATCTGATAGCTCTGGTCCCACAGAGAAGCCTGTACATACTCCGTGTAAAAGCAAGAGCTCCAATATTTTAGTAATACGTGGAGAGAGTGGAGTGGGAAGTATTTAATGTACCTGAATTGTAGGGTAGCCTTCCATTTACCTGGGCAGCTGTGCAGCAAGGTTCCAATCCTTACTGTGTGAGTCATGGTACCATTTTGGAAAGCAAAAGTGAAGCCAAAGGAAGAGGCTTCACTGACAACATTTTCTTTGGACTTCAACACTCTAGCTCGGACTAGAGACTTGAATGTCACAGAACCCAGGTTTCAGTTGTTTACAACCTTCATTTCTGTATCAAGTCACTTAGCGCTTCACAACCCGTTTTCTCGTGTCTAAAACGGGAATCATTGTACTGTCTACGTCCCTGCCTGTGAGGGGAAACAAATAGGGTAGTGGCTGTTCAGATACCCTAGAAGGTTCACAGTGCTCCAGCAGAGTGGGACTCGGGATCCTGCTGAAATGGTTGTGACATTCACTGTTGTGGAGAGTGAAATTGCAGTGTAGACAGTTCATTATCACAGAGATGGCAGGTTTTCTAGTTAACGCCAATAGAATACTATTCCTTGATGTCTTCTTTTTCTCACAAGGTGGGAAGAATTGCCACACTCATTATTGTGAACATGTCTTTGGAGTGACCACAGATCAGAACTGGCTCTTTGTCAAGGGTGACAGAAATGGAATAACAGATTTTAAAAATCCATTAACAGCATTTTTGTCATTATAAGCAGATCAGTTGTATTTCACCACTGGCTCCTTATTACTCTGCTACAGAGATGAGCTAGGAAGTGACAGAGAGCATGCATTTATCATTCTGCCATGGAGTACAAGAGCCCCGTTTGTCTGTGACTAAAGGCAGGCTTCAGAAATGATGTGGATTATTATGCTGACACTTAACCGAGGAGATTATTACGTACAGTTAGGATTAGGTGTTTCATGTTGACTTTCAATAGCCCTTTTCTAGAATGTGTAAGCCAGATGGCTAAACCACCTCTGGCACATCCACACATCCATCCCAGTAAGAAAAAGGAATAAACTGGATATACAGCATAGCTCAATCACAAAACATTTATCGTAAGTGAGCAAAATTCTTACCCAAAAGCATATACACTGTATGGTTCTGTTGATATTCTGTAACAGGCAAAACCAAACTGTGGTGAAAAATAACCACAGATAACCCAGCCTTAGGGACAAACCAGGAGCTGGTAGCAGAAGTGGAAATGGAGTGCAGTGAGACCTGCAGTTACTTCGATTTGCAGCAACTACAACACTAATGGATTGATAGATTCACAACAGGGTATATCTGATAAAAAATTGTCAAAACTGGTGGTTATTTAAGTCCTCATTGTTCATTTCTTCAAATATCCTGCAGGTCTGAAAGCCATAATGATATGTTTTAAAAATATGATTTCAGAAAAAAACTATTAGTAAGAAAAGCACAAGAGAAAATCTTGGTAGTGTTTTTTGGGGTGCGGTATTCTTTTAAGCACTGAATATCCTTAGACATTTTAAGCATTGCGTTCTCTCAAAATCCTGGATGTGACAGACATTTAAAATGATAAACACACAAGGATTTCTGAGTCTGTAGTGTATTACATGAATTGTTACCAAATTAAATTTATAATTAAAAACTACCTAACCACATGTTTTTGACTACACACCATTTCGTTTTCTTTTGTTAATCTCCATAAACTATCTTTTAGAAATGGCAAGTCCTCAAATACAAAAAGAAATAATAAGCTGGTAATAGAATTCAGTTAATAAGAATATACCACTTTTATGAACTCTGTTAACTGATAAGAAGCATTTTTGAAAACCTTGGCTTTGGGATACAAATAATATCACCTTGACTTTTTTGCAGTCAGTTGAGACTGAGAATGATTGGAATTCACGAAGACTGAATTTAAAGTGCACATGGCAAATTAGAGCATTGTGCTTTCTCAAAAGCACCAAATTCAATAGGAACATGCACAGGACTGTGTCCTTCAAAAACAAGTGTGGATGGAAAAGGACCCATTTTTTAGAACTCTAACTGGTCGTTTCTTACTGACTATTCATTGTCTCCTGTCCTGCAGTTGGATTCAGTTTACATACATACTTTTTAAGTAATATGGAGAAATAACTCAAAGTTTAAAGAGAAACAGGGTGATTAAAATAATGAAAAACCGGTCCTCTTAGGAAAATTTAAGTGAAGAAATTCTGCAAACTCTTCTAAGATTGAAAGGTTAATCAAGTGCTTAATTACCATGTTCAATCACATGACACGCGTTTGTGAAAAGAGTCTCTGAAAACACTATGGAAAAGGATTTAAATTAAGAAGAAATAGTTTAGTGGTGCAGTGGAAGAATCTCCTGACTTCGAGGTCAATTAGACCCTGGAATAATTATCAAGAGATGTTTCAGAGTCTATATCCCTGGAGATTTGCAAAAACAAAATATAAATTCTAAATAGTTTGACAATGACCCTGACACTGGCTGAAGACTAACTCAGAAGACCTCTGAAAGCCTTTCCCGGATCCGCATTCTCATATTAATTTTTCATCCTACAGTAATAATTTTGAAATACAACTTGCTGCTAATTTACATTGTGCTGGGCTTTGTATAACTGTAAATTCGCTTAAAAGTCACTGTATGAATGATTCTTTTCACTGCACTTGTCTCTGAATAAATCAGTATATATTGTTTTGGTGACTGTAATGCTCCTCTCAATTTAGTTTCTGTATTTTTGTAATTATTATGAAATAATTATACAGTAGCCGCTCACATATTCTCAGGGAATATTATGTTCCAGAACTGCCTTGGATGCCTGAAACTGCAAACAATACTGAACCTTACATACAGTGTCTTTTCTCCTACTTTCATAGCCAGTTTAATTTATAAGTTAGTCACAGTAAAAGCTTCACAGCAATAACTAGTCATAAAACAGAACAGTTATAACAAAAGTTATGCCACTATAACAGAAGCTGTTTTAACAAGACCATAGTAAACTATAATAAAAATCATGCGAATATGGTCTCTTTCTCTTGAAAAAGTCAAGACAAATAGTGATATCCTCAGACCTAGTTGATTCGGGGCAATTAAAACTACACAAAGTGAAAATCATGAATCAGATGCAATTACTACAGTGCAATCTCTTGTTTTTCTCTTTAATGTTATATCAATATCATTATGAGGCTGCTTTTATACTTACCACTGTGATGGTCATGAGCATTTTCTCTCTGTGAAACAATCCCTCTCTGAATCCGTTTAACGGGCTCTGCTATTCCACCTTGCCACATCCCCACCCTGCCATCCAGGGCTCGTTAGAATTGAGATAAAACTGTCATCATGGAAAGTGATTTATCTTCCTCTTGAAAGTCAATATGGCAGAATCTTATTTTTTAAAAGCAGTGTTTTTAATTAGTAGATGTTTGCAGTATGCAAGGTTTACAGTTATTGTGGGAGTTTGTACGTGTACATAATGCATCTTTTCTTTTCATCCTCTACTCTTCCCAGAATCCCCTTTCACCGTGTCCACTGTGGTTGCTCTTTTCGGCTTCTTAGTTTTATTCCTCGGCTCACTTCTATTCTTCCCCATTGCAGAGCAAAACTTGCTTCCTGTTGTGATGCTGTTCAAAACTTCGTGGTTTCGCAAAATAACACTCCAGTTGGAACTAACATGAGTTATGAAGTGGAAAGTAAAAAAGAAATCCCAATTAGGGAGAGCATTTTTCAAATGTTTCCGGTGGTGAGTAAATGTTTATTGTAGCTTTCCTCTCGCCTTACATTGTAATTTACAGGAATGAATGAATCAATCAATCAATGATTTTAAAACTATCATAGTTTATTACATTGCATAAAATGTGTACTGTGGACCATTTTTTAGAAGGGAATTTTTATTTATTTACCTTTATTTTCTATTCTGGGGATCAAACCCGGGGTCTCATGCATACCATATGAATTTTCTGGGAGGTACAACCCCCAGCCCCTAAAAAGGCAATTTTAATGAGGTGTGGCTGTGTAGGGAAGGACATTTATAGTTTAAATGATGGGCTGTTCTGGTCTTTGAGCCTTCCAGACTCTTCTTTGGAGGTAATTAGCCAGTTGGAATCTGCATTGTGATCCCTGGGACTTGTGAATATAAGCTTATCTTGGGAAGTAACTATGTAAAATCTGTGGCCAATAAATATAACATCCATAATACAGGGATTATTATCATCTACATTCGCTGATGTATCCCACGCTCCTAGAACATTCTTCAGTACATATATCCAACCATTACGTGCTGTTACATGAAAAAGTCATGAGATGCTATACTACTGCTTCACACGGTGAAGAGAGACTTTTTGCCTAATCCAAGTTTGAAAATTTTTTTGTCATGAAGAACAACTGTTACATATAGATATATACTCCCAGGCATTTTAACATCATCTGTTTAAAAGCAACCAAGCTCCTGGGGAGGGAGCTCCACAGTAAAGCATGTGCCTAGCGTGAATGAGGTTCTAGGTTTCATCCCCAGTAAAAAAGGCAAATAGGCCAAGTCAATATGGTAAAAAAATGGGATCATAGTATATATGCAGTTTGCTGACTGTAGAAAGTTAGATTCTTATGATTAATTCCCTTTGGTTGGGCTTTTGATTTCTTTGAACTTACTGCTGCTCATGTAAATTGTTTCAGTGGGTTTTTTTTTTTTGGCATTACAATTCAAAGGAAGAAAAATTTACTGAGAATAAATGAGAAATAAAATGATAGAGAAAAAATACTTCACATTGTCTGGAAGGAAAAAGAGACAAAAATAACAAAATGATCAATAGTCAAGGATATTTAAAAGACCAAGTTTGGTCTTTTGAAATGATCAATAGAATGAATGCAGTTTATTAAAGGTAATTGTACATCAATAAAGTTTATTTAAGAAAATAACCCTCATAAGGTGTTTTCATGATGCATCGAATTACGAATAATTGTGAAGATAATAACAAAAAAATCTCCATTCCCTACCACAAAAGGCCTTGGAGAGCTGTCTTTGCTGGTGTGTGTATATCTGGATTTTGGCGACCAGCACACAGGGGCCATATCTATTCTGTCTCTTACTTGGCAAAAAGGAAAACTTATTTTTGGTTTTGTTTTTGTACTGGAAATCAAACTCACGACCTCATACTTGCCAGGCAGGTGCTATGCCGCTGAGCTACATCCCTGGCCCCAGAAAAACTTAACATAGTGTTGTAGTCAGGGTTTGCGAGGGACTACATTTAATACAGGACACATAATTTATAGGATTATGTTATAATATTCATCCAAAAAGTCAAATACAGAAGAGTGCAAGACAACTGTCCACACACTAGAGACCCAAAGAATCCAGCTGAGGGCCTGGCTCACACAGTAATGTCCAGCACAAGTCCAGCTGAAGACATAGAGAGCCCAAAGCAATACCCTCCATGAGTCCAACTGGAGGGCTAGAGCCCACAGCAATGTCTCATGCAAGTCTTCATCAGGGATCCGCACTGGGAAGGCCCAAAGGCCAGTGGTGAAAACTATATAGTCTGTACCAGCAGGATGAAGGATCAGGGCCACCAGGCTAAGGGATCTGCACTGGAGCCAGGAAACAGTGCACAAGGTAAGGACCAGAGCATCCCCGAAAAGAACTGCAGCCATCCTCAGCAACAGCAAGGACCGGAGCTCCTCCCATGATGAGAACAGCTGAGTTCATATCAGGAAAACCAACATGATAAGCTTCTCCAGGAGGACCACCAGCACAATATCCTTCCCCTTCAGTTCTCCTTATATACTGTGGCAACAGTCCTCAGGTGGGCCCTCCACACCCAGCACCACACTCATTCAGTTAGCTCGTGTCACAAGTTGACCATTAGTTAATCCACCACACACAGCATTGATAATTCTGCATGCAGTTAATGTCTGCATCTATCGTCTAAATTTATACTGATTTTTTAAAATGGGGAAAAATACAGTCACAAGCAATACAGTCCCAATTGCAATGCCATGTCACTTTCTAAGTGGCCCTAACCTTCAGCTTCCATGGATGGGGCCTACAGTGGAGTTGACTTCTTTCGCACCTTGCTTCCTGCCTGTCCACCCTGTTCCACTCCCTCACACACAGCTGCCTGGACCAGCCAGGCATACAGCTGATTGCAATAAATACTTTTGATTAAACAGTGCAAAGTAACTTCTCCCAAAAACTTTGCAAAGTTATTTGAAGAACAAGACAACAAAGTTGATTTTCAGCCAGAGCGAGCAATGAGCAGGCAATTGAGCTGTGCAAATTTACATTTTTCTTGGGAAGTTTATTTTAGGGAACTTTGGGGTTTGTAATTTATTTCAACTCCTACTGAACATGCGATCCCAAAACATATGGCTGCTTCCCCCTAGTTGACCAAGAAACCAGAGAAAACATTCATTACTTTGAGTGCTTAATTTGAGATATGCTTCCCTCAGTAATCCTTTCCATTGTACTGTAAAGAGCATATTTGCATTTTTGCAGTCTGCCCTATCGATAAAATTCAGAATTGTAGTACCACTGAGTAAACACTGTCAGACGACATCCTGAGCTAGAAGTTCCTTGACATGAAATACCCTGAAGTATCTGAAAACGACTCATTTAAAAAACAGACGTAAGAAGGGCAGTGTGGATATTAAAGAAAATACGGGATAGAATGAAGTTACCATTTTAATCCAAGGACTAGTAAGAAACTGGATAGTGTAGTGGTTACACAATGCCGAGCGGGTCCTCTTGAGCAAACTTCCTGGGTTCATAGCCCAGCTCTGCCTCTCTGTAGCTGTTGCTTACACTTGTGGCTCTGTTTCTCAGCCCTGGAATACTCCGAAGGTGGTTGTGTGGCTTAAATGTGCTAATAAATCACGCAGTGAGAACAACGCCTCCCCCACAGGAAGCATCATAGGACTGTTGCCTTCCAAAGACACGCCTGTTGGGGGAAGTTCTGACACAGAGTTCTGTGCTCGTTGGACATCTCCCAAGTGCGGCGTGGGGAGCAGGTGGCAGACAGTGGTTCCCGGGTGTGCCGGGGTTCTGGGCTCCTCAGAATACCAGCCCTGAGTTGTTGCCAGTGGTGCTGGTGAACTAGCTTTGGGGAGGGATGTGCCTTGATTTTACAGCCTCTGCCACTTTCGTTGGTTTAAATACCTACACCACGGCCAAGTTCAAGTTACCAGCGGTATAACTGCTGCATGTGAAATTCCTGAATGTCACCCAGTTGGGTCTTGCAGCCTATTCAAGCAGCTCAGCGCACTGCTGGAATGGGGCTGGGGAGACTTTTGGAACAGCAGTGCTTATTAAAAGCTCACTGGGTACTCTGCACTCTGCTATACATGGAGAGAGGGGTAGGGAAATGAAAAGCTAAGACGCACCCTTTCTGTCCTTGAGGATTTACATTTTCACAATGAAGACAAACTAGGTGAATTGGGATCTCATCGCTGTGGGGTATGAGCTGGCACCTTCCTGTGGGCTCAAGGATGTATTATTATTTCGGGGGCACAATCAGAAAAGGCAAAGTGCACTATCAAGTTGGAAAGTTGTATTTCAAACTGCAGAGAAATTGGGGGAAAAGAGAAACCTTTTGGGGTACACTAGGAGGAGCCCTAGAAGGAAATGAAAAATATTCAGGCCACAGAAATTAATTTGAAATATGTCACCTGAGTTGGTCAGCCACCCTGAAGCACACTGACTGGTCATTTGCAGAGATGGCAAGCGTAAATCTGATTCCATTACGGAGCCTGAAGGTCCAACTACTTAAAACACACAGGAAACTTCTGCTAAATTACCTATTAATTTTATGGCTGAGAGTAAAAGATTTAATGCTACTTTCTAATTTCATTATTTTCCTCTCTTTCTTTGCTAAGAAAAAGTCCTTGTTTGTTTAAAAGGTGCTATGTTGAGTTTTGCCATTCTTCTTTTATTATATTTATAAGATATACTTTGTATACAAATATGTTTATAAGATTATTTTATTGTATATTACATAACATTTGTTCCTTTCAATAGAAATGAAACATTTACATGATATCTTTTTATTACGTCCTAATAAATTGATCCTGTTACTTTTTTTTCCCTTTTTAAGTACTGCTTCTTTTCGTTTGTTTTCTTCTCCAAAGCATGTGTGAAAAGTTATTATAATTAAGCTGGTGATGTTTGTGGTTATTAAACCAGTGGTATTTCATGGCAGTTTCACTTTCTTCTGCTAGTCCCAGCCTTTTGTGGAATACCCTTATAATCAGTGTGCCGTGGTTGGAAATGGGGGAATTCTGAATAACTCTCGCTGTGGAGCGGAGATAGATAAATCCGACTTCGTTTTTAGGTAAGAGTTGTCAAAATGGTTTCTTTTTTTATTTTAAAGAGGAGAAAAACTAACAAAACAACAGCAGTGAAGACAAAAACAAAAACAATAAAAATGATATGTGACCCCAAAACAAAATGATAGGAATTAACAATGGTTGCTACATTTCATACTGTTGTCTTCAATGAAGTTGTTCAGTCCACCAGCTATAAGAACGTAAGATTGATCAAACCATCAAAGACAGTAACAAGTAATTTAAAAAATTATTGGAAAGGAAGATCAGTTGTGTATTTTAAAGGTATAATGGAAAGATACTGTGTGTCAATTTTGACTTTTGAATTGTGTTCCTAATGTCTACAAATTACCCAGGTTAGGCTTTCCTGGAGTATTACATGGCTCACAAGTTTCTGGGAGTGTTCTTATCACAAAGATAGAAACGTGCTTCGGTCATCTGTCTTTCGGAAATGGGGTAAAATCAAGGTGGAAGAAGGCTTGGGGCTGTAGATCTCATCAGAGCCTTCAGTGTTTGAATAGGTACCATGACTCCCTCAGAAGGACTCCGGTAGGAGCATTTCCTAGACTCACTGGGCCTTGAAGCCTTGCTTCTCTTACAGAAGATGTCAAAAAAAGTTTCATTCTCCAGTATTACTAGTGGAAAGGCATTTTACAGCAATACAACATCATTGTTTAGTTTTCTGGGCTGAAATTTAAAATGTTTTGTGCAGCTTATAATTATGGTCTTCTAAAACATTGTTATCTGAGTACAAATTAGTTTACAAAGATACAAATAGAAATGGTTTTGTTATGTACCTGATACTAATAAGCCATTCCACAAAGCATCCGTACTTTTAGAATATGCCAGAAAGGTGATTCATGCATCTGAGGATGGATTTCAGTTGAAATGCATCCTTTTAAAAAGTAGGTATCTGTATCTTTCTGTTTGAGGAGCATTAATTTCATACATCAGAGATCCACTGGTCCCTGTTTATTTCATGCTACCCTTTTTATAAATTTTTTAAAAGTGATTTTTCCATAAATACTGTACCATAGCTCCTCCTTCACTGTGGGAATGACAGATCAAGAATAGACCTCACAGTGTGAAAATTACTGAATGTCTTCTTCTTGATTAATAAGATGGCCCAATGTGTGAGTGGGTTGGCCATGTTGTTCAAGTCTCAGTGTGAAAAAGAGCCCTAATAAAGACCAATAATTCCACATGCAATAGACCTTTTATAGACTTAAAATTCCCAAAACATCTGTGGTGAGTATTCTACCTAAACGTTAATTTTACTCCAAAGGAAGTATCAGAAATGTAAGATTTGGCTTAAAACCCTTTAAAAAGTCCTAAAAGGGCAGCTATTTGATTTATAACTCTAAAATACCTATAAATGCCTGTATTTCTGGATTCTACTTTTTCCGATGCCAGGTATTTTTATAAATATAGAGCTCCCTTAAAACTTGGGCAAACTTAATGGCAACAAAAGGAATAGATGTGATTGGAATCATTAGAATCTACTTAATTTTTTAAGCCCATACTTGTTTTGACTGTATATGCTGATTATAAAACAGTTGGAAAGTTACTTATTATTTTTTATTTCAAAAGATTAGGAGTTGTAGATTAAATATGTAAGGAACCAAAAGAATATTAATGTATATAATGGTACTGTATTAATGTCTACAATGTATGATGTATACAATTAATGTGATATACATTATATTCATGTATACAATGGGATGAGGTACACAAATATTAGAAAAGATGGTGGCAAAGCTTGTGACTGTAAATCCATATACATATGGCCATTGTATACATTATATATACAGCACTATATATATGTCCCTGTACTGTATTTCCCTTAGGAAACTCCTGTGATCCATATTAGAAATCTCATTTGATTCTTCAAAAGATTATGAGATTATGGTTTGTTACAGTAGGCCTACTAATAAGGTCATTTCCCTGGCCTTGTATCTCTAATTAATTTTTGTTTTCTGATATATGTTTTGTAGCACATAGGGAAGTGTTTATTTCATTTATTCATGTTTCATGGGACATGGAATAGAATATATAAGCCTCAGCCCTATCACAGAGCATATCATCTTTAAACAGCCTTCCAGGAAAGCACTTGATGGTCCTTTTTTTATGTTTAGCTTTAAAGCAATGGGCTACTTGAAATTTAAAATATGTTTAGGGAGTCATAACCACCTTTCTTTTTTTGTGATCTCAGACACTTAATTTGTTTTCCAAAGTAAAAACAAATTAGTGCTGAAAGGAAGATGAGAACATCACTATGAAAACATCACTAGAAGAACATTAAGGCTTTATTTATTAATACCATAATTTGGTGGTGAAACCATTCATATGGGAATCAGGAGATTTTGATGTCTTGTGCAGTCTTTGCCTCTGGCAAATGCTATAACCTTAGTTGCTGTACTCAACTTTTTAAAATCTGGAAGTTAATGACCATATCACTGTGGAAATTTAATCAATATAAATGATGATTTTAACAAAAGGATTGGAAATTTTGACAGTTAGGCCTGGTGTAATTGTCATTTCTGGTTTTGAAACTTTAAAAGTTATTGAAGCTAACTGCTAAATTTGTGTATTTTAAACAATATTGACATGTCAACTAAGAACTCAGTACTTATGCAATAGCTTTAAAGGGAAATAAGGTGAATTCTGAGGATCTCTCCATAACAATGATATTCTCTAATGTAAGGACAGTTATCAGATGTGTATGTGTGTATGTACCTCTGTGTGTGTGCATAGTCATTTTTAATAAGTTGTATTTTGAAAATAGTTTCCCTTCCGTATTTCAGGTGTAACCTCCCTCCAACCACAGGAAACATTAGCAAAGATGTTGGCAGTAAAACAAATCTTGTGACCGTGAATCCCAGTATCATAACACTAAAGTAAGTGTATCGTGGTTACATAACTGTTTGAGAACATTTTTTAATTGCTTAACATGTTTCACAGTCTAAGTGTTAACCTCATTGCCAAGGGTGACTTGCAGTACAGCTAGAACAGCTTTTGGAGAAAAGAATAAAAGCCTGCACTGGAAAACTTTGACTTTCTGTCAAGGTTGAGGTTCATCAGAGGTATGACTCAGTTGTGCTACCAGTGTCATAATTTAGATTAATCAAGTGAGAACTTGTTTTCTCTTCCTCTTTTTTAACAGTACTGAAGTTAGTTTCTTCTATTTCCTTTTCAGAGTTTTCACATTACTCTTTGAACTTTGTAGCTCTTGCTACATAAAACGTAGTCTGTTTAGAAATTTTGCACAGCTTGATAAAACACAATTTTCATGTTGGATAATTTACTGCTCCAAAGTAATTTCTGTGTTTCATTTCTGCCATGTAACTACTTAGGATCTTTGACTGGTTCATAAAAATCACAAGCATAGATTTGCTCCGTTGTTCTCATCAGAAATGACTGATGATCGTTATTAGTAGAGTATGCCCTTCCAAAGACTTCTAAAATGTCTTGAGAAAAAACAAGGGATTGTACCTGCCTTTTCGAAGCTGACTTTCCACATACAATACAATTACGTTAATAGGCACTCCCTTAGGTAGTATTTAAGTCATATGTATAGTGAAAGTACATGCGTGGAGGAAATTTTTTAATGATACAGATATTTCTATCTGTATTTGCATATACAGGAGGAAATTTTTTAATGACACAGATATTTCTATCTGTATTTGCATATAGAGACTTTTCAAAGGAAACTTCTATTTTATAGTGAAATGCTGCAACAAGCACACAAACCGCAGGTACACAGCTCAATGAATTTTTAAAAATGTAGATGTATATATGCTGTGCTTGGAAAATATTAGTTATAAATTTGAAAGACATTAAAGCATCAAAAAGTAACTTTAGAAAATACCAGAGGGTTGGAGTGTAAAATGATTGAAAGCCTAGGTATTTCAAGAGAGATGGAGAGCTACTCCTTGGGCTGGGGACAAAGCTCAGAGGCATAAGCGCCTGCCTGGCAAGTGCAAGGTCCTGAGTTTGATTCCCGGTCCAAAAAAAGTCAAAAGAAGAGCTACTCCTTGATATGTACACACGTGATGCTCGAATGATTTTTCTGATTCTATGGCTTATCTCTTAGACATAGGATATAAATAAATGATTTAGTTTTTGACCAGAAGTAAATTCAGCCTCATGGTACCAAATCTGTTCTATTGGTTATTATTACTGTGGTTATTATGATTTTTTAAAAATTTGGCAGATATGGGAACTTAAAGGACAAGAAAGCAGTATTTGTGGAGGACGTTGCAAGCTACGGAGATGCCTTCCTTCTTCTGCCCGCATTTTCCTACCGAGCCAACACTGGTGCCTCTTTTAAAGTGTACTATACACTCAAAGAGTCTAAAGCAAGGCAAAAAGTTCTCTTTTTCCATCCCGAGTACCTGAAACATCTTGCCCTCTTCTGGAAAACTAAAGGTGTGACTGCCTACCGCTTGTCCACTGGCTTGATGATCGCAAGTGTTGCTGTGGAGTTGTGTGAAAATGTGAAGCTCTATGGCTTTTGGCCCTTCTCCAAAACTATAGAAGACACACCTCTCAGCCATCACTACTATGACAACAGGTTACCTAAACGTGGTTTCCATCAGATGCCCAAAGAGTACAGCCAGATGCTTCAGCTTCATATGAAGGGAATCCTCAAACTACAATTTGGTAAATGTGAAATGACATAAACAAAGTTTCTTACAATGAGAATAGGCTTGACATAATGTAGTAGGTGAGCACTGTTTCCAAACACTGAAGGAGGTGGTGAAGGGGTATTCTAGGAAGAGCTCCAAAACTTGGTTTGACCAAAGCTCTCTCACTAACTTTGCAGCCTCCATGCGTCAATCAATCATTCCAATCTTCAGTTTCCTTTTTTTGTGAAGGGAGGATCATTATACTGACTCAGAAGTAAAAAGGAATAATTTATGAAATCTCCTGGTATAGCATTTGGTGTGAGGTAGGGATTCAATAAATATCTCCTTATAATATTAAACACAGCCATTTCCACCCTCACAAGAAGGTAAAAGGCATATTATCTTGGCAACCTTTTCTCAAAAGAGCTGAATCACCATACTTACTGCATTTCTTTCTCTCATTGGCTTCACTTTATTAATATCCTTCCCATTTTTCCTTCATCTCAAAGAGTATGTACACGAAAATTTTGTAGTTAAACAAGAAATCTTTGATCGTTTAGGAATGAAAGTCTTTTCTTTGTAGGGCAGTGTCCCTGCTTCTCATTAAATTTGCTTGTGATGTTAGCTTCACTGATGTGTTGGATGGATTCTTGCCTTTTCTTTTCCTCTATTATCTACATTTTAAATCACTCTTTATAATTTTATATGAACTTTCTGTCTCACTCTTAGGCCTTTTTCTCTCCCACTGACAGAATCTACTTCAAGGACATGAATAGTTACAATACCCAGGCCTTTTCACTTGCTGTAGGATCACTCATGCAATCTAACTAAAAAAAATATTGAACAGCTATTTTGTGCCAAGCCCTATACCAAGCTCAGTGAGAGGGCAATAAAGACTGCTTCTAGCAGGAAAAAATATATATGCATATCATTAATGATATGGTATAGCAAGTATTATAATGTAATAATTTTGAAAAATAGTGCTAGAAAGATCATAGACAGGGATAACCAAATCTCTTTCAGTGCACTCTATTTCAATGTATCTGCTTCAGGAAAGAGGTAATTTTAGGATTAAAACTAGAAAATGAGGGTTTTTTTCAAAGAAAATGATTCTAGGTAGAGGGAATATGATTCTGATTTATCAAAATGAGAATATTTGAAGGTGGATCATGGTTTTTTCCCCAAAACTGTCACTGGAGAGCCAACACTGGTGCCTCTTTTAAAGTGTAGTGTACACTCAGAAAGTCTAAAGCAAGGCAAAATGTTTTCTTTTTTCATCCCAAGTACCTGAAACATCTTGCCCTCTTCTGGAAAACTGAAGGTGTGACTGCCTACCGCAGTGTTGGGCAGTGTTGGGAGTTGGTGGCTAGGGCTCACATCTGTAAAATAGGGACAATTCAGACCTGACCAATTTAATAGAAGGGCTTAAGGGTGAGAACGCTCGAAAACTTAATTCACCCAAAGAAAGATAAATGCTTATATGAAAAATAAAACCAATAGTTTAGGCACCAGTGTAAAATGAAACTGGAGTAGATATTAACTAATAGCATGTTATACCACTCCCTTACGTTATGATGATACCTACTCCTATGCCACTCTTGCATCTGCTGGATAAGTTATTTGACTTACATATATGATCACATGCATACTTTTTTGCTCATCATTCAACCTTTGTAAGAAGACTGGAAATCAGTGTAGCGGATCAACATGTCAAAATAATTATAATTTTTAAATTAATTATCTGAGGGCTGGGGATATAGCTCAGTGGCATAAGTGCTTGCCTGGCAAGCGCAAGGTCATGAGTTCAATTCCCAGTACCAAAAAAAAAAAAAAAAACTACACTAATTGTCTGAGCCAATACCTACTTTTAAGAACACTGTACTATAAATTGTTCATTTTATAAATTACACCTTTATTTTGCATTTGACATATGTGATGTGATTTTGAGCTCATAATTCCATTTATTCTTTATAACAGATGAAACTTACTAGCTTTATAAATTGGTTAAAAGTTCATAATGGAATATTTTCTACAAGGAAGATACCTTTTGTTATATATAAAGTCTAATTTATTATCTTTCTTTTTATGGAGAATGGGTGGCTTTTTTATTACTTCTAATAGATTTAATTAGTTTTAAGTAATATTTTGGCAACATTGGTAATGTTTTAATCATGCTACTAGCAATGGATTCTTAAAAATAGGTGAGAACACCCTAGTATTTTGGAGTTAGTAAAATGATTTTTTTCAAAGTGTTAATGGCAAGTGAAGCAAAGTATTTCTTTTTGATATTGGAAATACATGATTAAAGAGTGAAAGTAATCAAATGTACTGAAATAAATCATCAAATGTACAAGGTGGAGGCTCTACTTGTTATTTTAATAAAATTACATATGATTAAGACATTTAAAGGTTACTTATGTTATTCCCACATAAGTTATTTTAACTTAGGAAATTTTCTTCAGAATCGCCAGAAATATCCAAAATAATATAAGATCAAGAGGTATAATAATACTCATGTTCAAATAAAACTTTAGTAGAAAAAAGTGTCTGTGGAGAGTTATTTTTTTTTGCCGAGAAAATTACATACACACATCTGGAGTTTCTTATTTAGCATTGTATTACCATCTTAAAAGCATGTTTAAAATTTTACTACTACAGTTACACTAGCCAGAACTCATTGGTCATAAGCAAACCAAAAGCACCTAGAGATTTCTTAAGCACATCATCGTGAGACTTTGTGGCAATTAACATACAAATCTATAAGGAGAATTGACAGCCTTACTTTTTGTTTTGATCTTGGTTAAAAACTTGTAGTAATTCACCATTACAGAACAAAAAGCCCTCTGACTTGTGTTTCACAGTTCACACAGCTGATGTGCCATATTGTCTAAATTCACATTCTATCGTGTTTTGTCTAATGTGCATTATGTATCTCCCAAATGGTCCTGTAGTTGTTATTTTACTGCAGGTGGAGGGTATCAGCTGTTGTCTGAGGCTCTTCCATGCTTTTGCTAGTAGAATCACTGTGCTGTAAACATCCAAAGGGAGTAGGCAACACGTGTACCTCATCCACATCATAATAGTCCCTTCCTGGTACAGCAGGACCTTTCACTTATTCCGTTGTGTGTGCCAAGAATGTTCTTTTGTTCCAAAACATAACATGACTTAAAACTTTCCAAAAGAGGATAGACCATGAATTTTTACATTGTAGAGTCTCAACTATGTAAATTACAAAGCTTAAATTACAGTTCCTTTTGCTCTGTATTGGCAAATTATTGCAAGTTTTCCAGCAATATCAAAACACAAAGAAAAACTATGAACTCTTTCTTGTAGACTTGGAGATTATCCACTAGTAGGTCTGCCTGTAACTCTCTCAAGAATGTATAAAATAAGCATTGCTTCAGTGCTGTTAGATGGATTACATTTGATCTTTTGCTCTGGCAAGTTCAAGAATACCAGTTGGCATTGAAAAGGGGGAGGTGCTACACAACAGTAGACTTTTAGTTAAGATTCTATCCCATAATGCCACACACTACCAGTTGCTAAGGGACAGACGGGCTCACTTGCTTCTATTTTCTACTTAGTGTTCAGCATCACTGGACAATGTAACCGAATAACAAGTTTCCAGCCAAATCCATAGGCAAATAAGAAATAGGCATTTAAGTATATAAGTCATTTAAGAACACAGTTCATATGCTGTATCATTCCTGGAAAGGACTCCATGGACAATTGCATAAAGTTAATTTATGCACAGTGTAACAGTCCTTAAAAGTCCCTGCTTTTTCTTCTCTGAACAAAACACAAAGACCAATAGATCATGACTTTCATAAAAGATTCCCTCTGCATGTAAATTCCAACCTGATAAATACGTGGGCTCTTGTTCAGGTAGTCAAAGACATTTTTTTGGAGAACTTTCTGTTTATAACATGCTGACCAAAGTCATAAATCAGACACTTTACTGCCTAGAATTTTCCTTGCCTACAGAATGTTTACCAGTTAGATATTATATCATGTCAAGTACCTAAATAATTCCATGAATTTCAAGAAGCTTTGGGGAAAACTGGAAAATTTTGCAGACAACAAAATTTTGTCATCCCCTAACAACCCAAACAGGTGTTGTAGATGTATACCTTTGGTGTAATACAGTTATGACATCCCAAACATTTTATTTATGTAACATTACATGGAAACACATTACTGTGCTACCGAACATTGAAGGTACTGTAAGAATTTAGTTGATACCTTTGATGCACTTGGCCAAAGAAGACAAGGTGTGTTTAAGATTTCCTCTTTGCATGTGACTTTGGGAGGCTGACGCCATAGTGATCAGTGTTACTCTTCTTCTCTGGAGAGTCTCTTGACCTTTATTATTCTGGATCATCACTTCCAGAAACAGTCTTCTTTTTATAAGAAAAAGTGAGTGATATATAATGAAGATGCACAGTTTACAGACTGGAGAAGGGGCAAATTCTTTAGCAGATAGTTTGGGAACATGGGTCTATAAATATAAATTGTGTGAAAAAATAAATACATTTTGTACCATGTAAACAGTTGGACACCATAGAAATTAAAGACAGATGAAAAAGTAAAAGTATAAAACTAATAGAAGAAAATACAGGAGAATTACGTCTGAAATTTAGGTGAGAACCTGTGCTTCTCCAATGTGATGCAAGGTGCCAGGGTTATACCTGAGCAGTGCAGTGCCTGCCTGGCAAGCATGAGGTCCTGAGTTTGATTCTGGATACCAAAAGAAAAAAAGGATGACACAAGAATAATATCTTAAAGAATCAGGCTAAGAAACGATATGACTATATTAAAAGGAAAAGTTTCTAGTCATAAATGACACTTGAAAATGTATAGGCTGGTGACAAACTGGAAGAGCTTTTAGAATGCATAACGTTAATGACATTCATATAGAATCATTCTATGGGACTGCAAATCAACAAAAGACAGGAAAACAAGAGGAAAAGCTGAGTAGATAATGAAAATAGGAAATGATGCTCATATCAGTAATCTGAGAAATGCTGATCAAAGTTATATTCTATATCCATTATATTGGCAAAATATTAGTAATACAGTTAGTTTCACATGCTGTGTAAGCATAAACTGATAACCCTTTTGGCAAAAAAAAAAATAAAGTATTAAATGAAATTAATAAGTATTTGTCTTATGTTCCAGCAGTATCGCTTTGGGATACATCTGCCAGACAACTTTTTCAGGTCCACAAGGTAATGGTTACTAAGATATTTAGCGCATTGTTGCTGGTGATAACAGTTGGACACACAGGTGTCCATCTCTTAAGCTAAGTGTGGTGGCTACATACTGGGAACACCAGTATAACGGTAAGAAGCAACCTTCCGGCATACAGGGAGCAGGAAAGGTAGAGCTTTAAAATTTAGCATAAAAGCAAAGAAAAGGTATAGCACTGTATCATCTAATTATCCTAAAGCAGGTACATGAATACATACATACATGTTGGAGGGTATGTATCAAACACAAGCTACATACTCATTATAGAAAATGTAAAGGGGTTGGCTTAGGGCTAATTTATATGTTATCATGTTTAACACTGTTAAACATTGCTATCATGTTTAATACAGCAAGCCACTGAGCCACTGGACATATTTCTATCCTCACATAAAATATTTTTAGTTACATATAAATCAACACAGAATCTGGGACTCAAAACTGTAGGGAACTTTTATAAGGTTGTTTTATAAGTGCACAGCTTATAAAAACTAGCTCTAAAGCCTCATTTTTAGTATGCAATTGTCAAGTGAAAAGGAAAGTCAATATTATTAGATATAACTGACATAATCAACATATTTAAAGTGTACAACTTGAAAAGTTTTGACTTGTGTATTCCCATGAGGTGAGGCAAATTCCACAGTTAATATAGTTTATCCATTATCCCTAAATGTTTCCTTGTGCTACTTTATACCTGATTGTTTCTTGTTTTTTTCTCCTTGTCCATTGTACCCTAATTCCCAGGAAATCTCTTATCTGCTTTTCTATAGACTAATTTGCCTTTTTACACTATAGACTGTTTACAATTTTTGAAAAGTTTATATAATTGAAATCACAACTGTGTGCATTCATTTTTGTCTTGCTCATTCACTTAGCACAATAATATCAAGATACATTATATTGTTTGGGTATTAATAGTTCCTTTATTTGATGAATATAATTCTGTGACACAACTGTACCACAATTTGTTTATTCTTTCACCTCTTTATGTACATTTTAGTTGCCTTTAGTTTTTTGCTGTTAGAAATAAAGTTCTCATAAACACTCACCTACAAGTCTTTGTGTGAACATATAATTTCCTTGGAGTGGATATCTAGGATTGGAATGGCTAGGTCATATGGTCAATGTATGTCAAACATTTTAAAAAAAAATACCAAAGTATTTGCCAAATTGTAATATTTCATGTTGTTGTCAGATATGTACCCAATTGCAGTTACCAAAATGAAATTTCAAATTTCCTTGACAAAATTTGGTCTAGTCTGTCTTTTTTTTTTCTTCTGTCTTTTTAATTTTAGACTTTTCAATTTTTAATTCTATTGAGGGTATAGTTGCATCTCATTGTGCTTTTAATTTGCATTTCCCTTAGGAATGAGTATATTTCATTTGTTTATTTCACTTGCACAAGTCTTCTATGAATTTTTACTACATTCTCTTGTATTCATTTTAATTTTGCAAGTATTCAATATATTGTATCCTGAGATTTTTTTGAAAAGAGCATTCAGTGTGATAAATTAATTTGTCTTCTGGATTTTCAGGGTGCTTGTGTGTGTGTGTGTGTGTGTGTGTGTGTGTGTGTGTTGCATGTGTGTGACATCCAATAAAATATTACCACATTATTTTTCTATTATTTATCTTTAAGGATCTCAAAGAGATTTCAAATCCTTATCTCAGCTATTATAATGTGTCCTTTGGAGGCTAATTCCATCAATCTCATCTGACATGGAAATGCAAGTAATCAAAAAAATAAAAGCTATTAAAGATCTGCCTAATTTAATTGTTTACTGGTGAGTTCCAGTGTATGGGGTAACTGTCAATTCAAATCTGGTATTATTAAAATTTTATCTGGTGCCAAACACTGTATGCAAGACTGTATATGTATTATAATGAATTCTTTCAAATTTTCAAGGTAAATATCCATCTGTTTTTCACAGAAAGAGTAGAAGACTTTCAGCTGAAAATACCACAATACCCCACCAAATACGGCCCAGACTCTTTAGAATTTTTGGACCGCAGACCTAAAGTCCAGAGACAGAGCAGCTAAAGAGTTGCTTATGGGTCCTAGTTTCATTCTCCTGTGAGTCCTCTGCCTAGCTGACCTCTGCATGGGGACATCATCCTTAGACTGACTATTCAGTGATGCAGTGATCCAGACCTTGAATCTGTTCCTCTGCACAAGTCTAGAGAAGATGAAAGGGTCCCTTCAGGACTGTCTCAGAAGGAGCAAGGAGGCCTTTTCTCAAAGCCCCAGCAAACCTGTCATTGTTTTCTTTCTGGCTCAAATTGGCCACGTACACAT